CTGTCTTCTCAGGACGTCACCTTTGACGAGTCAGTCCCTTTCTACCGCCTCTTTCCCTACCGCACTACCCCTCTCCCTCCCCCGCCGCTCTTCCTCGCTCCAAGTCCCCCTCCGGTAGACCCCCTTCCCCCCCAAGGTCCTGCTCCTTCAGGTGTGTCTCAGGTAGACCCACCTCCCTTAGCTGAGCCTCTCAAGGTCACTAGCGACTCAGGTGCTGCTGAGGGTGGTACTGCTCGAGGTGCCGCATATGGAGGTGCTGACCCACGGTGTGAGGTGCTGGAGGGTGCGGGGCTTGAGGGTGCTGAGCCGGTGCGTGAGGTGCTGGAGGGTGCGGAGCCTGGGGGTGCTGTGCCGGTGCGTGAGGTCTTGGAGGGTGCAGAGCCTGGGTGCACTGAGCTGGAGGGTGCTGGACCGGTTTCTCGCCGGCCCCTTACACCATAGGAGCTGCGAGAGTGGTTTGCGGTTCGTCAGCGACTACGGAGGCGTCCTGGAGTTGGCGGTACTGCAGCTGGAGCTGGAAACACTCGTGCTGCTGACACCACAGGCCCTGGAGGTACTCGAGCTGCCAGGGCCGGTGGTGTTGGAGGAGGTCCTGCTGTAGACTCTGGTACAGGAGGTACCGTGTCTGAGGGTGCGGCTTCTGGAGGTACTAGAGCTGGAGACCCCGGAGCTACTGGTTCTGGTTCTGGGGGTGCTGCTGGTGGTGCTGCTGGTGCTGGAGCTGCTAGAGGTGCTGCTGGAGCTTCCGGTGGAGCTGGTGGAGCTGCTGGAGCTTCTGGTGGTGCTGCTATTAGTGCTGCTAGTGTTGGAACTACTGGAGGTGCTGCTGGAGCTGCCGGTGGAGCTGGTGGAGCTGCTGGAGCTGCTGGTGGTGCTGCTAGTGGTGCTGCCGGAGGTACTGCTAGAGCTGCCAGTGGACATGGTGGAGCTACTGGAGCTGCTGGTGGTTCTGCTGGTGGTGCTCTGGCTAGTTCTGGGGGTGCTGAGCGGCCGCGACCGTACTTCGTTCCGCTCCTTGAGCAGGTTCTTGGTCTCCCGCCTTCTCCTAGTCCACCCCCTTCCTTAGAGTGTCCACCGCCTGTCCTGTCGCCGTCACAGCTACAACCCACCTCCCTACTGCCTGCTCCGTCTCCTTACGCTGGTCCAACAGGAGGTCTTCCTGAGCGTCGTGAGCCTGCGTCTCGTCCTGCGTCGCCTGTTCGTGTTGCTCGCGCCATTCGTCGTAGTTCGCGTCCTCCTCCTGTCGCTGGGCCGCACCGCATGACTCTGCGTCCTTCCACTGCTCCACAGCGTGCCCCTCTGCCGTCTCCTCCTGAGTCCTCTCTTCCTGCCCTTGCTGACCCGGAGTCTGACTCCCTTCGTGCTGCTAGTCCCACTGTCACGCGTCTCCTGGCTACTGTTGTCACTGACCCTTCCTTTGAGTCTACTGCTGCGTCTGCGCTAGTTGCCGAGCTTGTCAACTTTGCTGCTCGTTGTCATCTAGACTAGGCTGCCAGTCTTGTTGCTGAGTCTGAGTCTGTCTGTCCTCCGTCCGTCGGGGGTGAGTGTGCCCTTGGCACGGACGTCCTTGAGGACAGGCAGGAGGAGTTCCAGTGTTTGGCTGCTGCTTCACCTCATCTTGTGTCCATGCTGCTTGCCCCCGAGGGAGACCCGGATGCACTAGACATCCCGACTCCGCGTTCTTACGCAGAGGCGGTTGAGGGTCCCTACTCCTCTCACTGGCAGGCAGCCATGGACGCAGAGATGGCTTCCTGGAAGTCCACAGGCACCTACGTCGACGAGGTTCCCCCACCTGGGGCGAACATTGTTGATGGCATGTGGATCTTCAGGGTGAAGCGGCCGCCGGGTTCTCCACCTGTCTTCAAGGCGCGTTACGTGGCTCGTGGCTTAAGTCAGCGGCAGGGAGTTGACTACTTTTAGACCTTCTCTCCCACCCCGAAGATGACCACTCTTCGGGTACTGCTGCACGTCGCTGCTCAGCGTGACTACGAGCTTCACTCTCTTGACTTCAGCACAACCTTTCTACAGGGCAGCCTGCACGAGGAGATCTGGTTGCGCCGCCCACCTGGCTTCACTGGGCCGTTTCCCCCTGGTACCCAGTGGAGCCTCCGGCGGCCAGTCTACGGTCTCCGCCAGGCACCTTGTGAGTGGCACGACACACTGAGGACTACACTTGCGGCTCTTGGGTTTGCTCCTTCAACTGCTGACCCGACGCTGTTTCTACGCACCGACACCCCGCTGCCGCCGTTCTACATCCTCGTATACGTCGACGACTTGGTCTTTGCTACTGCTGACACTGAGGCACTGACTCTAGTGAAGTCGGAGCTGCAGAAGAGACACACGTGCACAGACCTGGGTGAGCTGCGCAGCTATCTTGGTTTGCAGATCACTCGGGACAAAACATGCCGCACCATCACTCTGACCCAGTCACACATGGTGCAGCAGGTCCTTCAGCGCTTCGACTTCCAGTTCTCTTTGCCACAGTCCACTCCTCTGCCTACTGGTCACTCGCTCTCAGCTCTACCTTCGGATGAGTCCGTTGAGCCGAGTGGCCCGTATCCAGAGCTTGTGGGCTGCCTCATGTACCTGATGACCTGCATTCGTCCTGACGTCACTTACCCTCTTAGCATCCTGGCACGCTACGTTGCGCCCGGGAGACACCATCCAGAGCACTGGAAGGCAGCTAAGAGGGTGATGCGTTACTTGTGCAGTACATCAGTCATGGGGCTCGTGCTTGGAGGACGGGGTCCAGTTGTCTTCACTGGTCACGCAGACGCTTCTTGGGTTGACGAATTGGCTACGCAGCGGTCGTCACAGGGTTACACCTTCAGCCTTGGCTCCGGTTCTGTCTCTTGGCGGTCTATCTGCTCTTCTTCTGTTCTCAGCTCCAGCTGTGAGGCTGAGATCTACGCAGGGGCCATGGCAGGAGCTGCGTTGGCTCACCTACCTGTTGACCGACTTGGGCGAGGTGCCTCGTTCTCCTCCAGTTCCGTACGTCGATAACAAGGCAATGGTTGCCTTGTGTCGGGAACAGAGACTGGAGCACAGAACGAAGTACTTCGCTCTTCGCTACTTCCTTGCTCGGGAGCTGCAGCAGCATGGTCAGCTTCGTCTTGCCTATCTGCTATATATGTTTGGGCTGTAGTGGGGTAGCCAATATGGGGTACAACCCCTTTTAGGGTTTCGTATTTGTACCCATCTCTTTCATAGTTCATCCATTTCCTGCTTACTATCTTGACATAGTGCTCGCTGCCCATAGTCATTCGCACATGTGATCGGGCTGGTTAGACTTACGGGACAGTTGGTCACACACAGTCTCGCTGCTTCTCCTGTCTGAGCGACACCTGGTGCATAGATTTTGGCGACGTGGATGAGCTCCCCCGCTGGCTAGAGCTGCTTAGGCAGGGTGCAGATATCTTTGCTCTAGACTTTGACACTATCTTCATTGCCATGCATGCTTTGACTATTGGTACTAAGGGTGACTGTTACCTGTGTGTGCCTCCCGGCCCTAGTATAGAGGCTCTTGCTCTAGGTGCTGGTGCTTGGGTTGATACATTTACCCCTCGAGGACAGCGTGTGGCGATCTGCATGTGTGCACGGACGGGCCGTCACCTGGCCACGTTCACCCTTCGGCCTGGGTCGAGCCTATACACACTGACTACTGAGCCTCCTCAGGTAGCTGCGTCTGCATCCGGGTCAGGTCAGCTAGCAGCCCCCTGTTCTTATCGCCTCGTGTCGCAACATACTCTCCTCTGGCACCACCGCCTTGGTCACCCCTCCCTGCCATGCCTCCGTGGCATGCACTCCCGCCTCCTTGTCTGTGGTCTTCCCAGGTCTCTGCCCCCCCTCCCGCGCTCGCCTGCCCCGCCCTGTCTTCCCTGCGTCGAGGGGCAGCAACGCGCCACTCCTCACTCCTCCTCGTTCCCTTCGACAGAGGCTCCCCTGCAGACTCTCCACATGGACGTGTGTGGCCCAGCCCTCATCCAGGGACAAGGTCGCGAGAGATACTTTCTGCTGGTTGTTGACGACTACTCGCGTTACACCACGATCTTCCCCTTGCGTAGCAAGGGGGAGGTCCCTGACATCTTGATCCCTTGGATCCGTGCTATTTGTCTCCAGCTCCGCAAGCGGTTCGACACGCACCTTCCTGTCCTGCGTCTGCACCCTAATAGAGGTGGTGAGTTTTCCTCTGACCTCTTGTGGGACTTTTGTCGTGGGGAGAGCATCCTCCAGACGTTCACGCTTCCGGCATCTCCGCTGCATTGGCCTAGTCATGGAGGTCGCTCGTACTTCTATGATCCATGTGGCTGCTCCCCATCTTCTGTGGTTGTTTGTGGTCCGGTACACTGAGCATCAGCTCAAACTCTGGCCCCGTGTCTCCTTGCCGGAGACCTCGCCTAGACTGCGTTGGACGGGAGAGGTTGGCGATGCGTCGGCATTCCAGGTCCGGGGCTGTCGTGCCTTTGGCCGCGATACCTCTGCAGACAAGCTCTCCTCCCACGCCATTCCCTGCGTCTTCCTTGGCTTTCCCCCAGACACGCTTGGCTGGCAGTTTTACCACCCCACCGCGCGTCGTGTCCTGCCCTCTAAGGACGTCACGTTTGACGAGTCGGTTCCCTTTTACCGTCTCTTCGCCTAACACACTGCCCCTCTCCCCCCCTCGCCGCTCTTCCTCGCTCCAGGCCCCCCTCCGGTAGACCCCCTCCCCCCTCAGGGTCCTGCTCCTTCAGGTGTGTCTCAGGTAGACCCATTCCCCTTGGTTGAGCCTGTCAAGGTCACTTTAGCCAGTACAAGAGTGCTCAGACCCTGTACGACGCTATATTTGCACGCTACTCCTCCCCTGCCACTGCTGCACTAAGCCGCCTCATGCTACCGTACCTCTTCCCTGACCTTGGTGCCTTTCCCACAGTCGCTGACCTCATTACGCACCTCCGCACTAGTGACACTCGCTACCGCGCTGCGCTTCCTGCTGAGTTCTGCGCTAAGAACCCCCCCCCCCCATGTACATCACCCTCTACTACATAGTCACCCGGCTCCCTGACTCCCTTCGTGTAATCAGGGACCACTTCCTCTCAGTTTGCCCCACCACTCTCACCGTTGACCTCCTCGAGAAGGCCCTCCTAGCAGCAGAGAAGAGCATAGTCGCTGTAGGAGCCTCTCGTGGTGACCCTCGCACCCCCATCTTTGAGGGGTGTTCCCCCTCCCCCCTTTTGCCCTCTGTTGCCTCTACTGCTGCGGCCGACCTCGTTGGTTTCGAGTCGGTCGGCGCTGCGTTTGCCCCGAGCGGGAGACGCCGCACCGGCAAGGGCAAGGGGAGCAAGGGTGCTGGAGGGGCTGGCCGGGGTGGCGGAGGTGGCGGTGGAGGCAGTGGAGGGGGTGGGGGTGGTGGTGGGAGTGGTGGCGGGGGTGGAGGTGTCGGTGGCGGCAGTGGAGGCGAAGGCGGCGGCGGCGGTTGCGGTGGGAGCGGAGGTGGCGGAGGTGGCGGCGGTGGAGGCGGCGGCGGCGGAGGAGGTGGAGCTGGTCGGGGTGGAGCTGCGCAGAGGGTGACTTTGACCTTGACTTTGATGCTATCCTTGATGCCATGTATGCTGTGACTATTAGTGATGAGGGTGACTGTTACCAGTGTTTTTCGCACGACCCGGGCATTGAGACTGCTGCTCTAGGTACTGGTGAGGCTGCTGCTCTAGGTGCTAGCGAGGCTGCTGCTCTAGGTGCTCGTGCGTCTGCTCCCTCAGGTGCTGGTGAGTCTGCTCTCTCAGGTACTGCGTCGGCTTCGGCCTCCCACACCTTGACCATTGACTCTGGGGCTTCTCGCTCCTTCTTTCGAGACCGCATCACACTCACGCCGCTTGGCCGGCCAGTTGCAGTCTCTCTGGCAGACCCCTCAGGAGGTCTTGTCCTTGCTCACTTCTCCACTGTCCTCCCGTGTCCGGCGGCCCCCTCTGGCACCCTGTCTGGTCTTTACCTCCCCTCATTCTCTACGAACTTGGTGAGTGGTGCTGACCTACAGGATGCGGGGGTTCACCAATTCACTCCTACGAGTCAGCGGGTGACCCACTGCACGGACGCTCGGACAGGACGACACCTGGCCACGTTTACCCGTCGGCCGGGGTCGAGCCTGTACACACTGACCACTAAGTCTCCTCCAGTCACTGTGTCTGGTCAAGTAGCTGCGTCGGATCAGGTGTTTGCTGCAGCGTCCAGGTCTGGCCCTGAGTCTGCCCCCTGCTCGTGTCGCCTCCTGTCTCACGAGACTCTCCTCTGGCACCACCGCCTTGGTCACCCCTCCCTGCTTTGTCTCCGAGGCATGGCCTCCTGTGTCCTTGTCTCTGGTCTACCCCGGTCCCTCCCTCCCCTTCCTCCGGGGCCTGGCCCTACCTCCCTGTGTCGAGGGGGCGGCAGCGGGCTGCCCCTCACTCCTTCAAGCTTCCTACAACAGAGGCCCCGCTGCAGACGCTTCACATGGACGTGTGGGGCCCGGCCCGCGTCCGTGGACAGGGTCACGAGCGCTACTTCCTGCTGGTGGTTGATGACTACTCGCGTTACACCACAGTCTTCCCCTTGCGCAGCAAGGGTGATGTCACTGAGGTGTTGATCGACTGGATCCGCGCAGCTCGTCTCCAGCTCAGGCGGAGCTTCGGCTCGGACTTTCCTGTTCTGCGTCTGCACTCTGACAGAGGCGGAGAGTTCTCCTCTGGCCTTCTGCGAGCCTACTGTCGTGCACGAGGCATCCGCCAGACCTTCACGCTTCCAGACTCTCCACACAAAAATGGGATTGCTGAGCGCCGCATTGGCATGGTCATGGACGTCGCCCGTACGTCCATGATGCATGCGGCTGCCCCCCATTTTCTGTGGCCGTTTGCGGTTCGGTACGCGTCGCATCAGATCAACCTTCACCCCAGGGTCTCCATGCTGGAGACCTCCCCAGCTTTGCTGTGGACGAAGAAGGTTGGCGATGCGTCTGCGTTCCGTGTCTGGGGATCTCGGGCGTTTGTCCGCGACTTGTCTGCCGACAAGCTGTCCCCTCCTGCTGCTCCTTGCGTCTTCCTTGGCTTCCCCCCTGACGCGCCAGGGCGGAAGTTTTACCACCCCACCTCTCGCCGTGTTCTGTCCTCCCAGGACGTCACGTTTGACGAGTCGGTCCCCTACTACCGCCTCTTCCCCTACCGCACTTCGTCCCTCCCCCCGCCACCGCCCTTCCTTGTGCCAGGCCCCCCCCGGTAGACCCCCTCCCCCCTCAGGGTCCTGCCCCTTCTGGTGTGTCCGAGGTAGACGCAGTCGAGCCTGTCGAGGTTACTGGTGACTCTGGTGCTGCTGAGGGTGCTGAGCCAGGGGGTGCTGACTCTGGGGGTGCTGAGCGTGTGGGTGCTACGCCTGGGGGTGCTGAGCCTGAGGGTGCTACTACTGGGCGTGCTGAGCCTGGGGGTGCTGAGCTTGGGGGTGCTACCACTGGGGGTGCTGAGCCTGGGGGTGCTGGCCCTGTGGGTGCTACGCCTGGGGGTGCTGAGCTTGGGGGTGCTACGCCTGGAGGTGCTGAGCCTGGGGGTGCGGAGCTTGAGGGAGCTGGGCCTGCTCGTTTGGCGTCTGGCGGTGATGGGCCTGGAGGTTCTCTGGGTGCTTTGTCTCGGCGGGAGCCACTCTCTCCACAGGAGCTGCGCGAGTGGTTTGCCCGGCGCTGGAGGCATGCTGCTGGAGCAGAAGGTTCTTCAGCTGCTGAGGGTGCTGGTGCAGCGGGTCCCGGAGGTGCTCGTACTGGGAGTACTGGAGCTGCTGGGCCGGTTCGACTGGAGCTGGAGCTGCCGAGGGTGTTGGCGCTGAGGCTACTGCTGTCGGTCCTGGAGGCGGTCCTCTTGGAGGTGCTACTGGTGCTGCTGGAGGTACTGGAGCTGGAGGTGCTGCTGGCGCTGGTGCTTCCGCTGGGGGTACTGGTGCTGTCCCTAGTGTGTCGGGAGTTGCCGCGCGGCCTCGGCCGTACTTCGTTCCGCTCCTTCAGCAGGTTCTTGGTCTCCCGCCTTCTACTGGTCCTCCTCCTCCCTTAGAGTGTCCACAGCCTGTTCCGTCACAGTTATAGTTACAGCCGGCCTCCCCACTGCCTGCTCCTTCTCCCTACACTGGTCCTAATGGAGGTCTTGCTGAGCGTCGTGAGCCTGCGTCTCGCCCTGCGTCGCCTGTCCGTGCTGCTCGCACTAGTGGTCGTGGTTCGCGTCAGCGTCCTCCTCCTGTCCGTGGCACGCACCGGATGTCTCTGCGTCCGTCCACTGCTCCTCTGCGTGCCCCTTTTCCTTCTCCTCCTGAGTCCTCTATTCCTGCTGTTCCCGACCCGGAGTCGGACTCTCTTTGTGCTGCCAGTCCTACTATCACGCGTCTCCTTGCTAATGTCGTCACTGACCCTTCTTTTGAGTCCACTGCTACGTCTGCCCTAGTTGCTGGGCTCGTCGACTTTGCTGCTCGATGTCGTCTAGACTACACTGCTAGTCTTGTTGCTGAGTCTAAGTCTGCCTGTCCTCCGTCCGTTGGGGGTGAGTGTGCCCTTGGCACGGACGTCCTTGAGGACAGGCAGGAGGAGTTCCAATGTATGGCTGCTGCTTCACCTCATCTCGTGTCCGTACTGCTTACCCGTGAGGGAGACCCGGATGCACCAGACATCCGGACTCCGCGCTCTTACGCGGAGGCGATAGAGGGTCCCTACTCCTCTCAGTGGCAGGCAGCTATGGACACAGAGATGGCTTCCTGGAAGTCCACAGGCACCTATGTTGACAAGGTTCCCCCGCCTGGGGCGAACATAGTCAGTGGCATGTGGATTTTCAGGGTGAAGCGGCCGCCGGGTTCTCCGCCTGTCTTCAAGGCGCGTTACGTGGCTCGTGGCATCAGTCAGCGGCTGGGAGTTGACTACTTTCAGACCTTCTCTCCCACCCCAAGATGACCACTCTTTGGGTACTGCTGCACATAGCTGCTCACCGTGACTACGAGCCGCACTCCCTTGACTTCAGCACTGCGTTCTTGCAGGACAGCCTGCACAAGGAGATCTGGCTACGTCGCCCACCTGGCTTCACTGGGTCTTTTCTTCCTGGCACCCAGTGGAGCCTCTGACGGCCAGTCTACGGTCTCCGCCAGGCACCGCGTGAGTGGCACGACACACTCCGGACTACACTTACGGCTCTTGGGTTTGCTCCCTCTGCTGCCGACCCGTCGCTGTTTCTGCGCACCGACACTTCTTTGCCGCCGTTCTACATCGACGACTTGGTCTTTGCCACAGCTGACACTGGTGGACTCCCCCACGTGAAGTCCGAGCTGCAGAAGAGACACACGTGCACACACCTGGGTGAACTGCGCAGCTACCTTGGCTTGCAGATCACCCGGGACAGAGCACGCCGCACCATTACCCTGACTCAGTCACACATGGTGCAGCAGGTCCTTCAGCGCTTCGGCTTCACGTACTCCTCGCCTCAGGCCACTCCTCTGCCTACTCGCCACTCGCTCTCAGCTCTGCCTTCGGATGAGTCCGTAGAGTCGAGTGGCCCGTACCCAGAGCTTGTTGGCTGCCTCATGTACCTGATGACCTGCACACGACCTGACCTTGCATACCCTCTTAGCATTCGCGCACGCTATGTTGCTCTTGGGAGACACAGACCGGAGCACATGGCTGCAACGAAGAGGGTGTTGCGCTACTTGTGCAGTACGTCGGGCATGGGGCTTGTGCTTGGAGGGCAGAGTCCAGTGGTCCTCACTGGGCACGCAGACACTTCTTGGGCTGACGACCAGGCTACGCAGCGGTCGTCATAGGGTTACACCTTCAGCCTTGGTTCCGGCTCTGTTTCGTGGCGGGCTACCCGCTCGTCTTCTGTTCTCGGCTCCAGTTGTGAGGCTGAGATCTACGCCGGGGCCATGGCTGCACAGGAGCTTCGCTGGCTCATCTATCTGCTGACTGACCTCGGAGAGCCGCCTCGTTCTCCTCCAGTGCTGTACGTAGACAACAAGGCCATGCTGGCCTTGTGTCGGGAGGAGAGACTGGAGCACAGAACGAAGCACATTGCTCTCCGCTACTTCCTTGCTCGCGAGCTACAGCAGCGTGGTCAGCTGCGACTTGCGTACGTGGCCTCTGAGGCGAACACTGCTGATATTTTCACCAAGGCACTTGCGCCTAGTGATCGTCAGCGCTTCTGTACTCAGCTGGGTCTTCTGCTTACCTTGCCTCACTTGCTCACCCCTTGACCTTGTTTGTACTGTTGCATATATATATACACCTGCTCTTGCTTGTCTAGCCTTGTATATATAGTTAATCCTGCATGTGAACTGGCCTTGTGGCCTTGAACTTGTGCTCGGAATGTGTGGTGACTTTGTCATCCACCCTGAGCTTGCTTTGCTTTGCTTGACTGGTCTTGTGACCCCCTGTTCTCCCCCACTTTGCCTATGGGGGTGTGTCAAATTTATATGACATAGCTACTGTAGGCTATAGTGGGGTAGCACATATGGGGTACAGCTTTCTAGGGTTTGTACTTGTACCCAACTTTCCCTTAGCCATTTTCCATTCTCGTTCATTTTCTCAAACCTATAGCCTGATTTGATCAGGGTAGTTTTAGGCTAAGCCCGTGTCGGCTACTCTTTTGAGAGCTAAGTTTTTTATACTGACATAACAAAGTAGCACTCACAAGAGCGTCCTCGCTATCAGACAATTTTGTCTGTTTGTCTTAGAAATCAGACGATTTTTTCTCAGTTAATCTGATTTTCCTATATTTGATTTCGATTTCATCTGATTGGCTAGAAATCATTTTTTAGTTTCATCTGATGCATCAGAAACGTATTTTCTAATTCATCTGAAACCGAATCATGTTATAGCCTATAGTTTCAAGCATTTCCTGATCTGAGATGTCAACCAGACCTGCTATGATTGGGCGAAACATTTTCTGACAGGGCGAATCTCTTGTGTAAGGGCGAATCTGCTCTTGTGTTAAGGTAATTCTGTTGTGATTGGGCAAATATGCTGCTCTCTGACAGCGCAAAATTGTGATTGGACAAATTTGCTGTGCTCTAACATCACGAAACCACCGTGCCAGGGCGAATTTTCTGTCAGTGCTTTTTGGAATTGTCTGACCAATCAGACACAGAAGTAGCAAATTTCTGATGCATCAGACGGGCCCGAAGGGTTTTATGCCAGTGGTCACAAGCAACAATGCCTGTTTGTGCGGGTGTGGTACAGTTTGTCACCACGCGGAGTATGGCCTGATCCGCGGTAAAGAAGTTTCGGTATCAGCATAGTATAGCTCAGCGGACGAAAAACGCCGCCCAATTCCACGGTAGGGAAAGGACAACGCCCCTCCTCGGACTTGACTAACAACCAACGAACTCCGCGTGGAAAGCCCGAGCGAACAGGCTGGGCTCAGTGCCAGCGAGCCCTCGTGATTGACGACGACCTGACGACCTAGGTTTCCTCTGAGACAAACCCAAGAAGTATCTCTCAACGCTGGGCAAAAACCCAGCTCGTCACGTCGGGCCACGATTATCGCCACGCGGCCACGAATGTGTCAGAAAGTTATTCTCTAGCCTGTAGTGGGGTGCTCTATAGCGAGTACAACCCTTCTAGGGTTTGCTATTTGTATCTCCATTCCTGCTAGTGAACTCCATCTTTTGCCTAAACTCTTTCGTGCCTAGCTAGGGCTTTCCTAGCTATGGCTCCTCATTCTTGTTACTATCTTCACATGGTTTCAGAGCGGTTACGCTCTCGGCCTGTGGGTACTACTGCTTCCGCTGCTACACGCTCTGTCGCACGCCCCGTGGCGTGCGATTTGCACTCTGGCGCGCGCCCCAGGACGCGCGGCCCCGTTCTTTTCTGGGGCGCCGCCCCCGCTGCCCCGTCGCGCCGCCCAGGGGAGCCGCGCGCGGCCCCCGCCCGTCCGTTGCGACGACCTGGGGTGTCGCGCGCGGCCCCGTCGCCGCCCGCAACGGCCCCGTCGCCGCCTGCAGCGGCCCTGTCGTCGCCCGCAGCGACCCCGTCCCCGCCCGCCGCGGCCCCGTCGCCGCGGGCAGCGGCCCCGTCGCCGCCGCAGCGGCCCCGTCGCCGCCCGCAGCGGCCCCGTCGCCGCCGCAGCGGCACCGTCGCCGCCCGCAGCGGCCCCGTCGCCGCGGGCAGCGGCCCCGTCGCCGCCGCAGCGGCCCAGTCGCCGCCCGCAGCGGCCCCGTCGCCACTGCGGCCCCGTCGTCGCCCTCCCGCTGCCCCTTTGTGGCGCCCTGGGGAGCGGCGCGCGGCCCCTCGCTGCCCCGTGGTGGCGCCCTGGGGGCCGCGCACCGTTCTCCCTGTCGTCCCCCGCGTTCCTCCTCGTCACACCCGTTTTAGGGTTTGGGGGTGAGGAGTGTAGGGGTGGTGGTTGTGGGGGTGTCACTTGTGCATGTTGTACCCTTCTTCTCCTCTTTCGTCGTCTCCCACTACTGCAGCTGTCGCTGAGGGGGGTGGATGAGTGGGAGACTGGGGTTTAGGGTTTAAGGGGGGTGCGTGGGGGTGGAGCTAGGGTTTGAGCAGTGGGCGTGTGTCGAGAGTGTAGGGCAATTGGGGGAGGTTGAGTGGAGGCAGCAGTCTTGTCGTCAGCAGCAACAGCAGTTCGGAGGCTACAATCTCCGGTAGTCGCCAGTCGCCCGTGGGTCCGTTGCTCGTCTGCCGCTACTATTAGCCGCGGGGCCAGTTACTCCAGTAGTCCGGAGCGCTGTTCCGGTAGCCATTGAGCCAGCAGCTCGTCTGTGTGTCTGCAGCGTCAGCACTCGCCTCCCATCTTCTCTCCCCACAGCTCCTCCTCCTCCTCACTTGTCCGCTGTAATTAGCTCTAGTTTTACTTATCTGTGTAAACTCCTGCTCTATACCTGCTTTCTCACTGTGCTGATTACACCCCACTTTGGCTATGGGGGTGTGTCAGAAAGTTATTCTCTAGCCTGTAGTGGGGTGCTCTATAGCGAGTACAACCCTTCTAGGGTTTGCTATTTGTATCTCCATTCCTGCTAGTGAACTCCCTCTTTTGCCTAAACTCTTTCGTGCCTAGCTAGGGCTTTCCTAGCTATGGCTCCTCATTCTTGTTACTATCTTCACAGAATGGACGTCCGAGATCGCCCACAAGTTGGCGGGGCCACTGAGGTCTGCCACGACAGCCACGACGAGCCCACGTGGCACCAGTTGAGACGGGGTGCTTTGCGTGGGAAATATTCGCGCCAGGTAAGTGCCAGGTCGGCGTGTACCACGCGGCTTCCATTCGACGGTTGCCCCGATGCCCAAGGCACCATCACAACCGTTCCCTACTAAGGCTAGGTGCAACGGATCTTCAGGCGACGGGAATGTCGGCGTCGACCACACGAGCATCTTCGGGGTGCCACGCGTCAGTGCCAAAATCAGGACCACGCCACGTAGCGCACGCACGACCCAGCGTGTAACAGCCATGAAAATTGCCTCCTGGGCGACGCGCTTTTCGGAAACCAGCCATGCATGGCTGGTGGCACGTCGGACACGGCGCCGCCGCACGAGGGTTCATGCATAGCGGTGTCCTGCACAGGGAGTTGCGTGGAGAGCGGCTGATGCGGAGTCGCCCATGACCATACCCATCCGGGGACCCCGTGAAGGTCGCTCATTCTGCCTTCCACTCCAGGTTTGTTCCACCCACTATCTGGCACTTCGTTTTTTTTCTACTCCCTTTCGCACTCCTCGCGTGCAGGACAGTCACTCCGCCGACCAGACGTCGTAGTCGGCGTCGACACAGTGGCTAGAGAGACTGATAAGAGACGTCGCCGATACTTGTTTAGGAGATCGCCGAGTTTTAGGCACTTGCGAGAGAATTCGAGCGTGACGCCCGAGAAGCACATCGGATAAACACCGCCAACGGGACTCACTACCGCCAGCATTGGGCCGCCGCGATCCACGTTCACTGTAGATCAAACGCCTGAAATCACATGGCCAACGTCGACATGACAAACGGTCCTACCCCTGCGAGCCATGGGGGAGACGGCCGACCGGTGGAGTGTACAACGACCAGTAATCCATCGTCGACCCTGCCGCTGCTTTACGATCTCGACGCACTGTAACAAATCCCGGTAGGCGAGTTCACCAAGGACATTCCACCTGCGCCCATAGGGGAATTTATGAAACCACGCAAATCGACGGCACCGACAAATGCTGGGGAGGCCGGGACGTCGTCGGTGCCGACGAATGCTGGGGAGGCCGGACCGTCGTCGATGCCGGACGGAGCGGGCGATCAGAATGAGGAAAGTGACGACGCCTCATCGTGCAGCGATGATGACGACGAAGACAACCCACGTCCTCGACGTGGCGCAGGTCCGCACACGTTGGAAGAGAATCTCAGTGGGGAACGTGCGTTCATAGAGGACTTGTTGGACGAGGAAGAGCTTGAGGACCTGTCAAACATGGCGGTGCCACGAAAACAGTGGAAGGCAGCCGACTTCGTCGAGGAAGATATGGTCTACCGTGCGTCAACGTACTCGTGATGGAGGCAATGTGCCACCTGAAAACCCTGGAGGCTAAGAGCACGCTCAAGCAGTACACCTCTTGGATTTACCACTACAAGAGGTGGGCGGCGAAGATGCTGAAGGAAATACGCGACAAGCTTCTAGGTGAGGAAAGAACGAGGCACGTCGACAAAATCGGGCACTGGATCCACTGCAACAAGAGCAAGGATTGGGACAACGAGAAGGTGGTCAAATGAAAATACATTTGGCTGCACGGCCTGCGTGTCACTGAGACGCGACTGCGCGCCTACATCAAGTTCTTAAGGCGGGAGTACAAGATCAATGCCGAGACGAACGCGCCGGTGAAATCGAACACGGTGCACATGATCCGCGGCCGCATCAAGGCCTTCCAGATGGCGGAGAGGGTGGAGGCGACTCTCTACAAGGAGAAGGAGTTGGGCATCATGCGGGAAATCTCGGTGGTCTGGTCGGAGGTGCGGGTCATGGTCCGCACAAAAAATCAGAACGACGTCAGGTAAGTTGGCATACACACCCGAGCTCTGTCTCCTTTGATTTGTGGTCGACGACGCAAGACACATCTCTTCTTATTGCTTCGTTGACAAGAACTGCGCGGACCAACGACGCGGCACCATCGGCGACACATACACCGCCGAACAGTTCCGCCAGATCATGATGAGGGTGCTGCCAACCTAGGCGGCGTCGGCGTGGAACCCGCGGGCTGTGAGAATTACGAAGAATGAGATGACTAAGGGAAAGTTGGGTACAAGTACAAATCCTAGAAAGCTGTACCCCATATGTGCTACCCCACTATAGCCTACAGTAGCTATGTCATATAATCTAACACACCCCCATAGGCAAAGTGGGGGAGAACAAGGGGTCACAAGACCAGTCAAGCAAAGCAAAGTAAGCTCAGGGTGGATCACCAAGTCACCACACATTCCGAGCACAAGTTCAAGGCCACAAGGCCAGTTCACATGCAGAATTACATATATATATATATATATAAGGCTAGACAAGCAAGAGCAGGTGTATATATATATGTAACATTACAAACAAGGTCAAGGGGTGAGCAAGTTAGGCAAGACAGGCACAAGACCCAACTGAGTACAGAAGCGCTGATAATCACAAGGCGCAAGTGCCTTGGTGAAGATATCAGCAGTGTTGGCCTCAGAGGCCACGTACGCAAGGCGCAGCTGACCACGCTGCTGTAGCTCACGAGCAAGGAAGTAGCGAAGGGCAATGTGCTTCGTTCTGTGCTCCAGTCTCTGCTCCCGACACAAGGCCAGCATGGCCTTGTTGTCTACGTACAGCACTGGAGGAGAACGAGGCGGCTCTCCGAGGTGAGTCAGCAGGTAGGTGAACTGGTGGACTCCCCCATCCTGTAGGTCAGCACCACTCACCAGGTTCGTAGAGAACGAGGGGAGGTAGAGACCAGACAGGGTGCCAGAGGGAGCCGCCGGACACGGGAGGACTGTGGAGAAGTGAAACAGGACACGACCCCCACAGGGGTCAGCCAGAGACACCGCCACCGGCCGACTAAGCCGCGTGAGTGTGGTGCGGTCCCGAAAGAAGGAGCGAGAAGCCCCAGAGTCAAGGGTGAAGGTGAGGGAGGCCGAAGCCGACATAGTACCTGAGAGCGCAGACTCACCAGTACCTGAGGACGCAGACACACTAGCACCTAGAGCAGCAGTGTCGCAAGCACCAAGGGCAGCCGCCTCACCAGTATCTAGAGCAGCAGTCTCAATGCCCGGATCGGGCGGGAAACACCGGTAACAGTCACCCTCATCACTAATAGACACAGCATACATGGCAGAAAGAATAGCATCAAAATCAAGATCATAGATGGCAACACCCGCCCTAGACAGCTCGCCCCAGCGAGGGATCTCTGTGGCCTCCGGGACTTGGTGACGTCACGCGTCCGTCAGGCGGCCAAAGCAGCGCTGAGTGGGGTGCGCACCCCCACACTGCTCACCCGCACGGTCGCCGGTGCGCAGGACGTAGGTGCATGGACCAAAACCCCCACCCCGCTGGCGTGCAGTGTACCACTCACGGAGCTGCTGAAGGGACAGGGTCTCACGACCGCGCTGCTGCTGCTGGTGCGGACTACCACCGGAGCCACTCCTCTTCGTAGACCCGCGACCAGCTCCACCGCCACCCCCGCCGCCTCCGCCGCCTCCGCTACTACCGCCGCCTTCGCCACCTCCTCCACTGCCGCCACCTCCGCCACCTCCGCTCCCACCGCCACCGCCGCCGCCGCCTCCGCCTCCACTGCCGCCACCGACACCTCCGCCCCCACCTCCACTCCCACCGCCACCCCCACTCCCCCCGCCGCCTCCACCTCCACCGCCCCCGCTCGCTCCTCCAGTGCCCCTGCTCCCCTTGCCCTTGCCAGAGCGGCGTCTCCCGCTAGGGGCAGACGCCACACCGACCGACTCAAGACCAAGGAGGTCGGCCGCAGCAGCAGAGGCAACAGAGGGCAGAAGGGGGGAGGGGGAACACCCCTCAAAGATGGGGGTGCGCGGGTCACCACGAGAGGCCCCTACAGCGACCATGCTCTTCTCGGCTGCTAGGAGGGACTTCTCGAGGAGGTCAACAGTGAGAGTGGAGGGACAGACTGAGAGGAAGTGGTCCCTGACTACGCGAAGGGAGTCAGGGAGGCGAGTGACAAAGTAGTAGAGAGTGATGTACATGGGGGGGGGGTTCTTGGCGCAGAAGTCAGCAGGAAGCGTAGCGCGGTAGCGAGTGTCACTAGTGCGGAGGTGTGTAATGAGGTCAGCGACTGTGGGAAAGGCAGCAAGGTCAGGGAAGAGGTACAGTAGCATGAGACGGCTCAGTGCAGCAGTGGCAGGGGAGGAGTAGCGCGCAACTACAACGTCGTACAAGGTCTGAGCACTCTTGTACTGACTAAAGTGCGCACGCTCGGAGGTAGGGAGGTGGCGACGCACAGCAAGACGTGCAGCAGCGTCACGCGTGGCCCACTGGGAGCGAACAGTGGCGTCAGCATCAGCAGCAGGGGCAGGAGAGGCGCCAGGGGTGAGGTCAAAGAGAGAGAGACCGTCTGCCCTGTCGCACTGTAAAAACAGCTACAGGTCAACTACCCAGACGTCAAATTCAATGGCTCGACCCTCAGCGTCAAAAGTCAGGACACTAGGGGTAGCCATGACCACAGTAGACTAGCAGTGCAACAGTAGGGTGAGGGCAGTGCAGTGAAAGAGGCACTGTGCTCACCGGACGGGGCTGCTCGGGCGGCTCGGAGGTAGGGCGGCTCGGCGGCTCGGGGGCTCGGCTGCACGGTGGCTCGGCTGCTGAGCGGCTCGGCTGCAGGGCGGCTCGGCTGCTGGGCGGCTTGGCTGCAGGGCGGCTCGGCTGCTGGGCGGCTTGGTTGCAGGGCGGCTCGGCTGCTGGGCGGCTTGGCTGCCCGGCTGCTGGGCGGCTCGGCTGCTCGGCTGCTCAGCTGCTGGGCGGCTCGGCCGAGCTGCTGCAGGGCGGCGCGGCGGTCGGCTGCTCGGCGAGGTGAGGCGGCCCGGGCGGCTCAGGTGGCGGGCGGCGCTGCAGCAGGTGACGGGGCCACAGGGAAGGCGGCTGGGCCGCCGGTAAGGGCGGCGAGGCCGCAGTCGAGGGTGGCGGGGACCGCAGATGAGGGCGGCGAGGCCGCAGGTAAGGGCGGCGAGGCCGCAGTTGAGGGCGGCGGGGACCGCAGGTAAGGGCGGCGGAGACCGCAGGTGAGGGCGGTCGGGGCCGCAGGTAAGGGCGGCGAGGCCGCAAGGTCGGCGCGCGGGGTCGACGGACGGCGCAGAGGGCCGCTAGGGTGGCGCGAGGGGTCGACGGGCGGCGCAGGGGGGCCGCTAGGGCGGCGCGCGGGGTCGATGGGCGGCGCAGGGGGCCGCTAGGGCGGCGCGCGGGGTCGACGGGCGGCGCAAGGAGCTGCTAAGGCGGCGCGCGGGGTCGACGGGTGGCGCAAGGAGGGGCCGCTAGGGCGGCGCGTGGGGTCGACGGGCAGCGCGAGGGGCCACAATGTTGAAATCTAGGCATAGGTGGGCTTAGGAGCCGTAGTTTAGGTTCTTAGTAGATCGAGTTCTAGGGAAAGGAGAATGTCGAGAAAGTTGAGAGAGGAGAAAAGAGAAGTTCACTATAGGTTGGCAACAACATATAGCAAAGAAACAAAGAAGGTGCACCACCAAACAAAGTTTATAATAACTACACTAACTATAGCTACAGGCAGTTACAAATATATTCTGACACTCCCCCATCCACACTCCTTGACAACCCTAGCACCTCTCCCCCAGCTCCCCCACACCCTCACACCCACCCCCCCCCCCCAGCGGCAGCTGAAGCAGTGGGAGAGAAAGGAGGAGGAGGAGAAGGGGATCACACACACCCATCACCCCCATAGCCTCCGTTCCACGGCTGCACGCGCAGCAAGGAGACGAAGAAGGGGGGGGGGGGGGGGGGGGGGGGGGCAGGGGCAACAGAGCAGAACAGAGCGCACGAGGGCGCAGGCAGAGAAGATCGCACAAGGGCGCGGGCAGCAGCAGGGCGCACGAGGTGCGGGCAGCAGCAGAGCGCACGAGGGCGCAGGCAGAGCAGAGCGCACAAGGGCGCGGGTAGCAGCAGAGCGCACGAGGGCGCAGGCAGAGCAGAGTGCACAAGGGCGCGGGCAGCAGCAGGGTGCACGAGGGCGCGGGCAGCAGCAGAGCGCACAAGGGCGCGGGCAGCAACGGGCGGGAACGGGCAGCACAGGCACGGGCAGCAACGGGCGGCAACAGGCAGCACAGGCACGGGCAGCAACGGGCAGCACAGTCACGGGCGGCAACAGGCGGCAACAGGCAGCACAGGCACGGGCAGCAACGGGCGGCAACAGGCAGCACAGGCACGGGCAGCAACGGGCGGCAACAGGCAGCGCAGGCACGGGCAGCAACGGGTGGCAACGGGCGGCACAGGCACGGGCAGCAACGGGCGGCAACAGGCAGCACAGGCACGGGCAGCAACGGGCGGCAACAGGCAGCACAGGCACGGGCAGCAACGGGCACCACAGGCACGGGCAGCAACGGGCGGCAACGGGCAGCACAGGCACGGGCAGCAACAGGCAGCAACAGGCAGCACAGGCACACGCAGCAACAGGCTGCAACGGCCAGCACAGGCAACAGGCAGCACAGGCACGGGCAGCAACGGGCGGCAACGGGCAGCACAGGCACAGGCAGCAATAGGCAGCAACGGGCAGCACAGGCACAGGCAGCAACGGGCGGCAACGCGCAGCACAGGCACGGGCAGCAACGGGCAGCACAGGCACGGGCAGCAACGGGCGGCAACAGGCAGCACAGGCACGGGCAGCAACGGGCAGCACAGGCACGGGCAGCAACAGGCAGCACAGGCATGGGCAGCAACGGGCGGCAACGGGCGGCACAGGCATAGGCAGCAACGGGCGGCAACAGGCAGCACAGGCACGGGCAGCAACGGGCGGCAACAGGCAGCACAGGCACGGGCAGCAACGGGCAGCACAGGCACGGGCAGCAACAGGCGGCAACGGGCAGCACAGGCTCAGGCAGCAACGGGCGGCAACATGCAGCAATGGGCGGCAACAGGCAGCACAGGCACGGGCAGCAATGGGCGGCAACAGGCAGCACAGGCACGGGCAGCAACGGGCAGCAACGGGCAGCACAGGCACGGGCAACAACAGGCAGCAACGGGCAGCACAGGCACGGGTAGCAACGGGCAGCACAGGCACGGGCAGCAACAGGCGGCAACGGGCGGGACAGGCACAGGCAGCAACGGGCGGCAACAAGCAGCACAGGCAAGGGCAGCCGTACCGAGTCCAGGAGCGGCGGTGCATACAGCTGTGGGGTCGGCGCCGTGGGCTGCTGCTGGGGCGGCTGCTCCAGGCGCTGCTGCCGCTGGGGCGGCCGCTGCAGTGGCGGCGGCTCCAGGGGCTGCTGCTGTTGGGACGGCGGCTCCAGGGGCAGCTGCTGTTGCTGGGGCGGCTGCTCCAGGGGCTGCTGTTGCTGGGGCGGCTGCTCTAGGCGCTGCTGCTGCTGGGGTGGCCGCTGCAGTGGCTGCTGCTGTTGGGGCGGCGGCTCCAGGGGCTGCAGCTGCTGGGGCGGCTGCTCCAGGCGCTGCTGCTGCTGGAGTGGCCGCTGCAGTGGAGGCGGCTCCAGGGGCTGCTGCTGCTGGGGCGGCTGCTCCAGGGGCTGCTGCTGAGGTCCAGGGGCGGCGCTAGTGGAAGGTAGGCCCGCGCTCGGCTGCAACGCTGGCGCGGGCGCAGGTGAGGCAGAGGCGGTGGCCAAGGGGGAGGGCGCCGCGACGAGTAGGAACGACGCCCAAGGGGTGCCGCTACGAGTAGGGGCGACGCCCCAGGGGCGCCGCGACGAGCAGGGGCGGCGTCCAGGGGGCGCCGCGACGAGCTGTGGCGACGCCCCGTGGGTCCCGCAGTGGCGTTACGACGAGCAAGGCGACGCCGTGCGGGTCCTGCAGGGGCGTCGCGACGAGCAGGAGCGGTGACGCCCAGGTCCCGCAGGTGCGTCGCGACGAGCAGGAGCGGCGCCTCGCAGGGCGCCGCGAAGTGGAGGGTACGGGCAGGCAAAACAGGCCCGCGCGTGGACATGAGGCAGGCGCGCAGGCGGTGTGAAAGCAGGCCGCGCGCGGGGCAGGAAGACGCCGCGCGCGCAGGGCGCACGGCGGGCAGAAAACCGGCTCGGCGGCTCAGGCGGCTCGGTATATTCTGACACTCCCCCATAACTGCCTGCAGCAGAAGTTAATGCAGAGACACCCCCTGAAGGGGTACACCAAGCGCAGCAGAAGGAGAGGGCAAGTGAGGGCAAGTAAAGAATGTACTCTGTTCACCGCCCGTACTGCGCATCGCCGACCCACACCGCCCATTCGAAGTAGTTACATACGCCAGTGACATCGCCATCACAACTGGAGCCGAGAACAGAAGACGAGCGGGTAGCCTGCCACGAAACATAGCCGGAACCAAGGCTGAAGGTGTAACCCTGTGACGACCGCTGCGTAGCCTGGTCGTCAGCCTAAGAAGCGTCTGCGTGCCCAGTGAGGACCACTGGACTCTGCCCTCCAAGCACAAACCCCATGCCCGACGTACTGCACAAGTAGCGCAACACCCTCTTTGCTGCAGCCATGTGCTCCGGTCTGTGTCTCCCAGGAGCAACATAGCGTGCGAGAATGCTAAGAGGGTATGCAAGGTCAGGTCGTGTGTAGGTCATCAGGTACATGAGGCAGCCAACAAGCTTTGGGTACGGGCCACTCGACTCTACGGACTCATCCGAAGGCAGAGCTAAGAGCGAGTGGCAAGTAGGCAGAGGAGTGGCCTGAGGCGAGGAGTACGTGAAGCCGAAGCGCTGAAGGACCAGCTGCACCATGTGTGACTGAGTCAGGGTAATGGTGCGGCGTTCTCTGTCCCGGGTGATCTGCAAGCCAAGATAGCTGCGCATTTCACCCAGGTCTGTACACGTGTGTCTCTTCTGCAGCTCGGACTTCACGTGGGCTAGTCCAGCAGTGTCAGCTTTGGCAAAGACCAAGTCGTCGACGTACACAAGGATGTAGAACGGCGGCAAAGAAGTGTCGGTGCGCAGAAACAGCGACGGGTCGGGAGTAGAGGGAGCAAACCCAAGAGCCGCAAGTGTAGTCCTCAGTGTGTCGTGCCACTCACGGGGCGCCTGGCGGGGACCGTAGATTGGCCGCCGGAGGCTCCACTGGGTGCCAGGAGGAAAAGACCCAGTGAAGCCAGGTGGGCGATGCAGCCAGATCTCCTCGTGCAGGCTGCCCTGCAAGAAAGCAGTGCTGAAGTCAAGAGAGTGCAGCTCGTAGTCACGGTGAGCAGCTATGTGCAGCAGTACCCGAAGAGTGGTCATCTTCGGGGTGGGAAAGAAGGTCTGAAAGTAGTCAACTCCCTGACGGTGACTGAATTCACGAGCCACGTAACGCGCCTTGAAGACAGGCGGAGAACTCGGCGGCCGCTTCACCCTGAAAATCCACATGCCACTGACGATGTTCGCCCCAGGCGGGGGAACCTCTTCAACGTAGGTGTCTGTGGACTTCCAGGAAGCCATCTCTGCGTCCATAGCTGCCTGCCACTGAGAGGAGTAGGGACCCTCCATCGCCTCCGCGTAAGAGCGCGGAGTCGGGATGTCAAGTGCATCCGGGTCTCCCTCAGGGGTAAGCAGTACGGACACGAGATGAGGTGAAGCAGCAGCCAAACACTAGAACTGCTCCTGCCTGTCCTCAAGGACGTCCATGCCAAGGGCACACTCACCCCCGACGGATAGAGGACAGACAGACACAGACTCAGCAACAAGACTAGCAGCGTAGTCTAGACGACAATGAGCAGCAAAGTCGATGAGCTCAGCAACTAGGGCAGACGCAGCAGAGGACTCAAAGGAAGGGTCAGTGACATCAGTAGCAAGGAGACGCGTGACAGTAGGACTGGCAGCACGAAGAGAGTCCGACTCCGGGTCGGGAAGTGCAGGAAGAGAGGACTCAGGAGGAGAAGGCAAAGGGGCACGCAGAGGAGCAGTGGACAGACGCAGAGACATCCGGTGCGTGCTAGGGACAGTAGGAGGACGGTGACGCGAACCACGACCACTAGTGCGAGCAGCACGGACAGGCGACGCAGGGCGAGACGCAGGCTCACAACGCTCAGCAAGACCTCCAGTAGGACCAGTGTAGTGAGAAGGAGCAGGCAGTGGGGAGGCCGGCTGTAACTGTAACTGTGACGGGACAGGCTGTGGACACTGTAAGGGAGGAGGAGGACCAGTAAAAGGCGGGAGACCAAGAACCTGCTGAAGGAGCGGAACGAAGTACGACCGAGGCTGCGCGGCGAGTTCAGACACAGTAGGGACAGCACCAGTACTCCGAGCGGCAGCACCAGCGCCAGCAGCACCTCCAGCTCCAGTACCTCCAGCAGCACCAGTAGTACCCCCAGCAGGACCGCCTCCAGGACCGACAGCAGTAGCCTGAGCGCCAACACCCTCAGCAGCTCTAGCTCCATTTGTACCCGCAGGCCCATCAGCACCAGTACTCCCAGTACGAGCACCTCCGGGACGCATGGCACCAGCACCCTCAGCAACCAAAGAACCTCCATCTCCAGTAGCACGCCTCCAACGCCGGGCAAACCACTCGCGCAGCTCCTGTGGAGAGAGTGGCTCCCGCCGAGACGAAGCACCCGGAGAACCTCCAGGCATAGCACCGCCAGACGCCACACGAGCAGGCCCAGCTCCCTCAGGCTCCGCACCCCCAGGCTCAGCACCTCCAGGCGTAGCACCCCCAGGCTCAGCACCCCCAGGTGTAGCACCCCCAGACTTTGCACCCCCAGTCGTAGAACCCCCAGGCTCAGCACCCGCAGTCGTAGTACTCCCAGGCTCAGCACCCCCAGTTGTAGCACCCCCAGGCTCAGCACCCCCAGGCGTAGCACCCTCACGCTCAGCACCCCCAGAGTCAGCACCCCCAGGCTCAGCACCCGCAGCAGCACCAAAGTCACCAGCAACCTCCACAAGCTCAACTTCGTCTACCTAGGACACACCTGAAGGGGCAGGACCCTGAGGGGGAAGGGGGTCTACCGGGGGGGGACCTGGCACAAGGAAGAGCGGTGGCGAGGGGAGGGACGGAGTGCGGTAGGGGAAGAGACGGTAGTAGGGGACCGACTCGTCAAACGTGACGTCATGGGAGGACAGAACAAGGCGAGAGGTGGGGTGGTAGAACTGCCACCCTGGCGCGTCAGGGGGGAAGCCAAGGAAGATGCAGGGAGCAACACGTGGGGATAGCTTGTCCGCAAACAAGTCGCGGACAAACGCCCGAGATCCCCAGACCCGGAACGCAGACGCATCGCCAACATTCCCTGTCCACAGCAAAGCTGGGGAGGTCTCCGACATGGAGACCCTGGGCTGAAGGTTGATCTGATGCGCCGCGTACCGAACCACAAACGGCCACAAAAAATGGGGGGCAGCTGCATGCATCATGGACGTACGGGCGACGTCCATGACCATGCCAATGCGGCGCTTAGCAATCCCATTTTGCTGTGGAGATTCCGGGAGCGTGAAGGTCTGGCGGATGCCTCGTGCACGACAGTAGGCTCGCAGAAGGCCAGAGGAGAACTCTCCACCTCTGTCAGAGTGCAGACGCAGAACAGGAAAGTCCGAGCCGAAACGCTTCCTGAGCTGGAGACGAGCTGCGCGGATCCAGTCGATCAACACCTCAGTGACATCACCCTTGCTGCAGGAAGTAGCGTTTGTGACCCTGTCCACGGACGCGGGCTGGGCCCCACACGTCCATGTGAAGCGTCTGCAGCGGGGCCTCTGTCGGAGGAAACTTGGACGAGTGAGGGGTAGCACGCTGCCGCCCCTCGACACAAGGGACGCAGGTAGGGGCAGGCCCCGGAGGAAGGGGAGGGAGGGACCGGGGAAGAC